GTATGTTATGTATATATATTTCATTATATAATTTGTTGTAGTATATATTGTATGTTATGTATATATATTCCCTTATATATTTTCTTGTAGTATATATTGTATGTTATGTATATATATTCCATTATATAATTTGTTGTAGTATATATTGTATGTTATGTATATATATTCCCTTATATATTTTCTTGTAGTATATATTGTATGTTATGTATATATATTCCCTTATATATTTTCTTGTAGTATATATCTTGCTTGACTGAAAGCGCTCTCTGATGCAACTGTTGAAGCTTGAATAGATAAAATATCCCGAGCCATCCTTGCAAGAAACGGAAAATGTTTTTCCCTTGTCTTCCACCATTCCAAAAGATCAAAGGTGCCGTCTGGATTCTCCTTTTCAAGTCCCTGCGACAAATAAACTTGAAGCTCATTTAGATGTGAAGTCTCATCATCATCCTCACCACCAACACGAGCATTAAACGTTGCATTAATTGGGTTTCTATATTCATATGCAACTACTAAACTTTCGTACATATAATTCCATCTAGTTGGACAAGGTTTAGGAACCTTTCTTTCTCTAAGGCCAAATTCATCACATTTTTTAAAATACTCTCTAAGTCTACTTCTACGGTTTGAATAAAAAAGCCAATTAAGAGCCATTCTAACCTTTTCAATTTCTAAATTTAAAATTCTCATACCATCACCGACGATTAAATGGTAAATGTGACAAATACATCTCACATGGAAACAATTACTAAATGCAGGATTTAGTGTTGTTGTAAGTATGCCCATAGCACTAGTGTTACTAGAAGCATTATCCATAGAAATTGTCATTATTTTATCTCTAATGCAAAAATATCTATAAATATCTGCAACAGTGTTAGCAATAAACTTACCTGTGTGACGTGAATTAATTATTCTATACGCAATAATGCATTTTTGCATTATCCACTCCTCGTCTATCCAATGACTTGTAACAGTTAGATAATCACAGTCATTATTACTTCTACCAATATCAGTAGTAATAGAAATCCGATTAGTTATATGAGTAAATAAATACCGCAAATATTGTTCATATTCATGTTTATATTTATAAATATCGCTCTTAACTGTTGCGCGAGGCCAACCTTTATAAGTAGGATTAAAAACTTTTCTAATATAATGCACAAAATTAGGGTTAGAAGGAAAAGTATATGGTAAGCACATAACAGTAACCATCTTTGCTAATTCTTCACGATCTTTATTAGGATCGTAATATAAAATACCACCGGTCACAGTGTTAATTCCTCGTTGAACTAGATTTGAACCTGTACTAGGGTTAACCGCAGTATCTACACTTGTCCCCTCTTGCTGCGCTTTCATTTGTAAATATTTAACTTTATCTCTAGGGTGTGTTTGTATGTGCCTAGCCAAACTACCTGTACCGCTACGGTCTCCAGTATATTTATGCGCCAGCAATTTCCCACAAGTTTTACACCTAGCCTTATTTTGTTCTCTTACTTGAGTAAAAAAATTCCAAACTAATGATGTTTCTAGGCGTTTAGAAGGTTGTTTATTAAAAGTAGGGGTTTCTACAGGTGGGTCGGGCGGGGCATCAGTTGGGTTATTAACAGGACTAGTAGGTGAATCATCTAAATCCGGTTGGGTTTCATCTACATCCTCATTTTCCTCATCATTTTCTAAGATAGTTTGATTAGGATAAAGAGCATTCATAACTTCTTCATTTAATTGTTCACCTTGTGCAACATTATGGCAAAATTCACTATCGGAAAATTGAAAACAAGGGTTATCACTATCAAGAATAATAGGAGCAGCAGGACGGGTAATAGGTCTGGGTCGGGGAGCCGGGGGAAGGGTAGTAGGTTGGAGACTACTTTCACCAATTTTAGCTTTTCCCTTACCACCAAACATTTTTTTCAAAGAAAATGCCATATTAATTACAATTATGCAAACTAAACACACAAAAATACATTCTTAAAAGTTAAGAGTTGGAACGAGTTTACCGAATTGCCGAACAACTTCTTGAAAATTGAAAATCGTTGAAGACTTGAAGACTTGAATACTTCAATTCACCAACTTCACAATTTTTCACGAAATTGCAATAATAAAATAAGCAATTATAGAAGAGAAATTAGATATAGATTGAGAGAGATTGAGATAGATTGATGAATTGGTGAGTAAAAATGAAAGAATGAGGGGGTATTTATAGTTGAGAATTGGGGAAAAGTGTAATTATATAAAGTTTGGGGTTAAAATAAAGTTTGGGGGCCAAATGGCTATTTTTTAAAGTTCCAAACGGTTGAAAATTAAAGGCCAACGGCTAGATTTTAAAATATGACCGTTGGCTATTTTTTAAAAAATTTTTTTTTTTTTTTTTTAAAAAATTAGCCGTTGCAGCCCGTTAGGACCGTTAGGCCCGGTTGAACCGGCCCAGGACCGCCTGCCGGTCCCGGGCTTAGCGGTCCCGGTCTCGTGGGCCTCGTGTACAAGACCGGCCCGTCACGGGCTTCCTACCCATTCAGGGACCGGCCCACCAGGACCGGCCCGCCGGGACCGTTTAGCCCGTTAGAACCGCGGGCCCGGTCCGGTCCCAGACCGGCCCACCAAACAGCCTTAAGCCAGAGTGCGTGTTAGCCGAATTTTGTGAAGTTTGAAAAAATAAGTAAATTATTTTTATGTTGCATTTGCTTTCGAAAAATGAAAATGTATAGATTTATTCGCTTGAAATGGCTTAATTTTAAAAATAAATTCAGTGGTGAGCCATATATTTAGATTTACGTCATTCTCTTGTGTTTATTTGGGTACCTGGTTTTTGAATTTGTTCAAATCTATAAAAAAGAAGAACAAAAAAAAACATGTTGGTATAAGGGTGTGTTTGGTACGTTGGAAAATATTTTTCGGAAAATATTTTTCAATTTTCCATGTTTGGTTGGCTTAAATATTTTGGAAAATATTTTCCTTTTGAACTCATTTTCCTCCTATTGGAGGAAAATGATTTCCTTATCAAGAGAAGGAAAAACATTTTCCAAAACTCCTTCTCAACCATCCCAACCCTCACCAACCCACCCCACACCCCCACATCCTCTCTCCAAAACGGCTTTTTTTCAAATTTCAATTTTTTTTTCCGTCACCACCCACCTTGCTCCCCCCCACCCCCCAAAAAAATTTTTTTTTTTGGTTTCTTTTTTCTTTTTTGTAATTTTAAATTTATGTTTTTTCGTTTTTCTGCACCCCCACCCCGCACAATTTTTTTTTCTTTTTCAAATTTCTGTTTTTTCATTTTTCTGCTCACACCCTCCTCCCCTTCCTACCCCCCCCCCCCTCTCCTCCCCCGGGAAAAACATATTTTATATATATATTTTCAGTTTTAGTTTTTTCATCTTTTGATTTAGAGGTTCGAAATTTTACAAGTTCCAAAATTATGATCTCGGAGGTTTATATTTTTGGAAGTTTACGAGTTTAGAATTATAAAGTTTACGGGTTCGAAAGTTTGCGATTTCGAAAGTTTAACGGTTCGGAAGGTTGTTGGTTTGAAAATTTATGGCTTCATGTTTATTGTATCTAAATTATTTATGAATACTCTTGAGAAGCTATTTTCCTTAATTTGCGTACCAAACATCGGAAAATGAGTAAGATTACTACTTGTTTTCCAAGAAAATAGTTTTTTGAAAAATATTTTCCGTTATACCAAACACACCCTAAATACAAATAAATTTTCTTGCGGGTATAAGCAAATTCATGACACATGGATGTTATTTATTTCCCTTATCTGCTATTCGTGACGCGTTTTTTCTATTTCATATGATGTAATTTTTTGGGGGGGCATATTTTGTTAATGGAAACTAAATAATAAATTAAAGAAAGTTAAATATGTGATTTGTTCTCTCACAAATTGATAAATTTAGCACCAACAGGGTGCTAGTTTCTACATAGGGATTACAAAATTATGATAGTTTTTAGGAGATCGTGGGCAGAGGCGGATTCAAGATTTAAAGTTTATGGTTTCTAAATTTACAATCGAATTCATAGCTCGTTAGTTAATGGGTTCGCACTTAAGTATTCATACATATTTAATAGATTTTCTAGTATATAAATAGATGGTCTAAGCAAAAAGTTACTGGGTTCGTCCGAACCCGTAGATAACACCCTCCCTCCGCCCCTGATTGTGGGTTGCTTATGGGGTTGGAGATAATTTTTAAAAGTTCGCTAACGGTAGGGGTAAACTTGGGCCGATAGTATAACAATAGGGATAAGTATGGTCGAATAGTATAATAGAAGTTAAACGTAAACAATATATGAAAGTGGAGAGATAAATTCGACCATTTTCCTTTGTCTTTTAATGAATTTCTGAATCTTAATCATTCATAATTCAATTATTTTTTGGCCTAATTTTAATTATTAAGTATATTTATTTTTCTCTTTGTATAATCACTTAACCAGACTCTATTATATATGTTTTTTAGTTTCTTCCGCTAATTAAAAAAATGTCTCCGAATACTTTTCAATTTTTGCAAAAGCAAAAAGATTTTTTTTTCTAAACATGTCCAAAAAGGTTATCAAATATTTGTTTATTCATAAGGATTTAAATATTATCATTCACTGTAGAACAACAAATAATGTATGATTTACTCGAATTTATGTGACATAATTTGAATCACTGCGATATATACGAAAATAAAATAAAAAATATAAATTAATTATTTTTAAATATAATATTATTATTTTTTTTGAAACCTACTAATAAGAAAATTATATTACATAAACTACGTAGATATGTTAATTTTTTTTAATAATTTCAGCTTTTCAATTTTTATAAAAGATGAAATACTTTTTCCTAGACATGCTGGAAAAAGTTTTCAATTTTTTTTTAGTACATGACCATTCCATATTTTTATTCACTTCGTAACAAGGAGTAATATATACTCCATTATTTATTGTACATAATTTAATTATTATAAAAACTAAAAACCTATTAACCCATTGAAAAAGCTCTGCCATATATAATGTATCGCTCAAATATCCACCCCAAAAATCCGAACCCTTGACCCTCCTCCTCTCTCCCTTCTCCAACCTAATGTCTTCCAAAAAAGGCGGACTATCACTACCCGACCGCCCCGGCGCCGGTGCCGGCGACGGAATCATCTCTAGGGTTTCATCATCCATATCTCAATCTCCGATCGTGTACCAAGGCAAGCGAGCTGCATCTGACGCCGCCTTAATCGCCAAAAAACTTCTCAAAAGCACCGGAAAAGCCGCGTGGATCGCTGGAACCACTTTTCTGATACTCGTAGTTCCGCTCATTATCGAGATGGATCGCGATGCGCAGCTCACTGAGCTCGAGCTGCAACAAGCTAGCTTGTTGGGTACACCTCCTCCGCCTTCTGCTGCTGGAGGTCCAAAGTGAGAATTTTCGTTTTCAGTTTTTCTGCCTTTAGGTGAGATAATTCAGAGTATGAAGTTCTATTTTAGAGTTTTAGGGACTTTGCAATAATATGATGCTATGGAATTTTGAAATTTAGGGTTTTGGGCCTTCTGGCTTCCAGCTTATTTAATGAGCTGGACCGATTTAATCTTTCCGTCTTGATGATGTAACGAATTATATCCGAGCTATTACATTCTCCATTACTATGTTCTCAAACGCAGGAATACACAGGCTTTTGGAGCAAATTCTATTTGTTTTTAGCTGGTTTAGATTTTGGAGATACAAACTAGAAGACTGGTGCTTACTAGAAAATTTGTACTAGTATATTAGAGATATAAACAGTCAAGTGTATTAGATCCCTAGTATTAGATTGCCCTTAAGTATGGAGTATTCAAATAGTATTCACCCAAATAGAGCATTTAGATATTTAGAATTCATATAACTAATTCCAACTAGCTCAGGATTGAGGCATAATTATAGTTGTTGTTGTGGTTAAGAGTTAAGATCTAAAAGAACATGAAATGTAGCAATTCTGGCGGCGATTTTCCTGTTGAATGTGGTGCATATTTTGGTGTTGCAGTTTATGGGATTTGACAGGACTTTCCTGATGTTTTTGGTTAAATTTCATTTTCCTAAGTTCCTGTTAAATTTAACCATCGAATATTTGACGGAGACTAGAAGTGCTTAATTTTGGCGAACTTAAAGCACCAAAACTAATTAGGAGTGTATTTAAGGAATTATTTTAAACTTACCCTAGGTATAAGGGACCATGTTTGTCATTTTCTCTTGGATTATTGTGAGAGTTTAATGTGGTACTGGCTTATCCCAGCTTGTATGCATTTGCCCAAAATGTGAGGAGAAAGATGATGAGCAAAGGAACAGGCAGTCATTGGATGCATTGTGATTAATATTGCATGAATCAAGTTATAAGCATTGCAACTTAGGGGATGATAGAAAAGACAGAAGGCTATTTCTTAGCTTGGAGGCTTAAAAGCAAGACAAATTTCTAAGGGAGAAAAGAACATAGAGCATCAGGAAAAATTGTTTGCAGCATGAGTTGACCTTATTTAGTTTCACAGTTTTCCCAAGTTTTTTGTCAATATTCACCTAAGCTTCTTAAGGAACAAGGGCAGTCGCATTTTAAACTTAAGGGACAGGTGCTGGTTCAAATCACTCTTCTACTTACATTAAATGGCGTTGGATTGGATGCACTTTTCAGCGTACGCTTTCAATTGTTATGATAACCTGAAAAGAGTCAAGTCACAATGCTGTGTGTCATCTGCACATCTTTCTCATATTTGTGTCCTTTGCTATAGGTGAGTAATTGGTAAGATAAGAAACTTGAAGGTGCTCAAGGTGTACGAATACGAACATGAACTACACTAACACTGATGATGTTTTCTTCAATGGTTTCACTTTTCCGAGTCGTGCGACACTGATCAGTAGCCACAATTCTAGCTGCTATAGAACCAGTAAAATATAATTGGAGCCAGTTACATAACATCTTTCAGTGTGCTGCCATTTGCTTCTTTTATTAACTTTTTGTTCAAGTGCTCCTTGGAGATCCCAGGGAAGTAGTTTGAGACTTTGGTATATGTTCAGAGTAGGAGTTGCAAACGGGCAGGTCGGAGATGGTTTGGATCGAAAACGGGTAGTGAAAAAACGGATAAATTAGCCGATCCGACCCATATTTAATACGGATAAAAATGGGTTAACCATGACTTCTTGAATATGATCACTTTTGAGAGAATTCCTAATCTTCCAAACTTTAGGAACCCCCAATTTGAAGCTTTACAATTAATGTAAATGTTAAACCCATTGGTTATCTATTGGTTATTCATTTTCTAAATGGATAATATGGTTCTTATGCATATTTGAAAAGTTCATTATCCAACCCATTTTTTAGTGGATAATATGGGTGATTAACTGTTTTTCTTTTAACCATTTTGCCACCACTAGTTCAGAGTTATACTAAGAGTTCATGGACTGAATTGTTCCAAATTGTCATTGTGGGTGAATGCAGCCTTCACATGAACATATAATTGATTGTGCATATCTAGGAAAAACAGAGGGGAGTACATATTTTTACACTAGCCTCCAAAGTTAGTGATATCAAAATCATTTTTTTTTTTTTAATATATGCAGTATCTTATGTTTCCTGGAATAAGATGTTACATTGGATTGGTGCACTTTTCAGCATACCTTTTCAATAGTTGTGGTAACCTGAAAAGAGACAAGTTACAATACTCTTGAGTCATCTGTGTATCTCTGCTGAATTTGAGTTTTTTGCTAGTAGTTTAATTGGTAAGATATGGAATTGGATGATGTTTAAGGTGTACGAATATAAACAATACTAACACTTACGATGTTTTCTTCAATGGTTTCACTTTTCATAGTCGTGCTGACACTGATCAGTGCAGCAACCATTGCTGTTCATAGAACAAGTGAGATATAATTGGAGCCAGTTACGTAACATCTTTCAACGTGCAGCCATTTGCCTCTTTTATCAAGTTTTTGTTCAACTGCTCCTTCGAGATCCCAAGTTTTTGTTCAACTGCCATTTGCCATTTGCCTCTTCAGAGTTGTTCTAAAAGTTCATGGATTAATCTGTTCCAAATTTGTCATTGTGGGTAAAAGCAACCTTGTTATGGACATATAGTCGATTGTAATCGTTGTTGTTGCTTTGCTGTTATTGTCGTCGTCTACAACAAACGAAAGAAGAAAAGATGTTATCCCCACATCTCAGTGTTCGTTTATTCCCGGGAGAAATTCAAAAATAGCCAGATTTACAAGTGGTCATTCAAAAATAGCCACAGTTTCAAAAGTAATCGAAATTTAGCCAAATTCTGTCTCGGTAGGACATGTATTTTTATTACTATGAAATTCATAAATGAAGTAGTTAATGGTAGGGTTACCATTATCCTTTTTGTAGTGACGAATCTTGTATGTGTTCCTAAGAAAAGGCATTTGTCCATTTTTCGGGGTCTCAAAGGGGCGTGGAAACGCATAAGAACTCTTGAATGGAAAAGAGATGTAACTCCAGTTCCTTCGGAATCGGTAGTCAATCCTATTTCCGATAGGGGCAGTTGACAATTGAATCCGATTTTGACCATTATTTTCATATCCGTAATAGTACGAAAAGAAGGTCCGGCTCCAAGTTGTTCAAGAATAGTGGCGTTGAGTTTCTCGACCCTTTGACTTAGGATTAGTCAGTTCTATTTCTCGATGGGGCGGGGAAGGGATATAACTCAGTGGTAGAGTGTCACCTTGACGTGGTGGAAGTCATCAGTTCGAGCTTGATTATCCCTAAGCCCAATGTGAGTTTTTCTAGTTGGATTTGCTCCCCCGCCGTCGTTCAATGAGAATGTCATGTAAAGATAATTATGAACGAAAACACTGTTCAAAATCCGAAAAGATACTTTAGTATAATATACTGGAATTGGAGTTCCAGCATATTGCTGGAACTCCAGTATAATATAGTGGAGTTCCAGTATAATATACCGGTCCAGCATAATATTTATACTGGAACTTTTCGCGTGTTGGAGTTCCAGCATAATATGCTGGAAGTTCATACACAGGTGCACCCAGCATATTATGCTGGAACTTTTCGTGTTACAGCAAAATAGTGGCTATTTTTCAATGACTTTGCAAACGATAGCTATTTTTGAATGACCAGTCCGAAAACTGGCTAACCCCTGCTATTTTTACCTTAGTCCTTAATATTTTCCCATTACTTGGCCCTTCTTTCTATCAATCCCATTTGTGACGCATTGAGGCGTTTGGACATGAATTCTAAAATTTCTTTTCAAATTTGGAATTTCACTAAAAGTTGGATTGAAGATGAAGTTGTGTTTGGTTATAATTTTTACAACATATTTGGATGTCTTTTTTTTTTTTTCAAAATCATGAAACATGATTTATACCCCACAACTTGTAAAAAATACCAAAACCACCCCAATTTGATTATCCTACTTGAAATAAACAATCAAAATGCTATTGTTCAACTGTTATCATATTCTGCTTTACTGCAATACACAGAAGATGCAAAATCAATATCACATTTTCTAATTCTACTAACACACAGGGAAGGTGCAAAAGCAGGCATAGCCACATATTTCTCATGATCATATAATCAAACTTCCAGTGGGCAGAGTTCAAGTATCAACTAGGACTGATGTTCCACCATTAGTCGCCAAAGATGTATCTGCCAAAGATGAAAAACCGATGGGGTCATTTTTTAAATTTTAGAAATATAGGGTAAATTTGTAAAACTAAAAACTAGCAAATTCCCATTTTCAAGCGAAAAAGGAAAAATTGGTAAGAATGGGATAACCAAACATTGTTTTCAAAAAAAAAAATGAAAAAAAAGAAAAAAAAATTGTATGTCCAAACGGGCTCTGAGTATCGTTATTATAACTCAAAAGGGAAATTCTGCAAAATCAGAAGTTGATTATGGGCTTTGGGTAGTCTTTACATTTTTTCGCAAAAATCTTACAGAAATGTAACTAAAAAAGTCCCAACTTACTAACCTTTAGCAACTAATTATAGATTTACCAAAACTAGCCAAACACATATTAAAATTGAAAATTCAAAGAAATAAGGTTCTTTCTCTTCAAGAATCACACACAAAGATCTCCCTACATATTTTTAAGCGTGATTAGCAACATTAGATGTAAGACGGAAAGAAAATTTCATGGATGAGGTAGAAAATAAGGTGATGAAATACAAAAAAAAATATATATAAGATTCCAAAAATCTAAGCAAAAAAAGGACTTTTGGACTTTTTCAATGGGTATGGTTGGGATTCATTCAAAACACATAGATGGGTCAATATACAAAATTTGAGGGAGATTGAAGGTGATTTGGACTGAATTGGTATCAAATTCGTAGGTAAAATCGGTTCAAAAAATTCATTTGCGACACATGTATCACATGTATCTCACAAGCAGGTATGCATGGATATACATATGATACATATTTGATACACATCTAATATACAAGTGATATATATATATATATATATATATATATATATATATATATATATATATATATATATATATATATATATATATATATATATATATATTCATCTTCTGCTTCGAATTTTCAATTCAAACCACCTCAAAACTTCACCAAATCATCCCAAAATGGAGATTCAAACTCTTTAAAATGTATCAATCTATTCTAATAACACACACTCAAAAGAAAGCAAAAATTTGACCCTTTTTTTTTTGCTACAAAT